CAAGTGCAGGCTGGAGGATGGAGCTAGTCATGTAGCGGGCATGACGTGTGTGATGAGCAGGTCGCGCTGAACACACTACAACTTTGGGAAGCTGGCATTTGCTGTGCAGAGCCTGCAGCGGTGTGAATTACAGGGAAAAAATGCATTTGCATGTAACAAAGGCGGCTGGCTCATCTCCTGCGTGAGGAACTCATTTTTTTAGAAAATCTGGCTCCCGTTTCTGCCTCTGCCGCAAATTGCCGGTGTAGCTTTGGGCAAATCATTTAATGTTTCCGTGCCTCCCCTCTCCTCATCTTGGCCTGTGACCCACGAAGGGCTTGCCTATACCAGGCTGTCAGTCCAGACCCTAACTCAAACCCTTTACCTTCCCCACTTGCCTCGCGCATAGCAGCCTGAAGCCTGCGATAGGTGGTACCTAGCTGCTCTGAGGGGATACAGTTTGACATTCAAATGCTGCTGCTGGAGCCAATAATACAGATGTAGCAGCCTCACAGCTATTCATTAATCTCTAATCCTGTCCTTCTTCTAATCCAGTCATTCTCTGCTGCTAATCAAATTGCCTGGCATTGCTCGAGTGGTGTTTGGCTGTGTGCTTGCCCTCGTGTTGGCTAGCCTACATCAAGACAGGGAAGCGGTGGCAGTGAAGATGGGCTGAGTATCACCAGCTCTTCAGGACAGAGACCGTCTGTCACTTGAGGTTTGTAAAATCCATGGCATGAGAGAGGCCTGGTGTGATTTAGTAATACAGATCATAGCTAGAGGGTAAATTGCAAAAACATCACAGAAAAATGGCCAGAAAATGGCACCTCGGGCGTTCCTGCGCAACCAGCTGTGTGCACATTGGGAGGGAACGGAGGTGGAAGGGTGCAGCTCCCTCGGCGTAACAACGGCATTCTTATTTTAGCATGGAAGACAGCCAAAGATAAGGAGTGGTTGTCATCCGGCTGGTTGGAGGATTAAAAAAAAAAAAAAGAGAGAAAGAAAAGCTGTGTGGAAATAGAAATATTTTGATGTAGGTACTAAAGGAAAAAAAAGCAGATAACCTTGGAAGTGGTGGACTAGCCACATAAAGCTGGCAGTACAAGATTTCTCCCATAAAATCCAGAATGATCCTAATTAAGCCCAGACCCTGTGAAATGACACATGGCTTTATTTATTTCAGATGTTTCTAGGTCCTAAAGATGGGGCCAAATGTGAAGAGTTTGATGTGGCAGATAGTTTAACCCCAATTACTTCTACATAAATCACATGATTGTTACAGGAGCTGAATACATCTGATGGGTGCCCCAGAGCAACTGATAAAAATATATATATATTTAAAAAAAAAATCCCCTGAAAAATCTCTGGTGGTGTGGGTGAGGGTTTGGGGGAGAAGGGTGGCCATCCTCTCCACAGGCAGGAGGATGGGGATGCAGGAGCTGTTGCCGCACAGTGTGCCCGCTGGTCTGCATGCACAGGCAGCTGAAATGGTGGCTTTGTAGAGCAGGCAGGCAGAGAAAGGGAAGCAAAATGGGAGCTGACAAATATTCTCATTATGAAACTGGGATCGATGAATGATTTATGGGGGTACTTGCTTTTTTTTAAATTTTATTTTATTTTGAGCAGACGGAGTTGGTTGGCGGTGTGTGGTGCTAGCCATGAATGGCTTCGTTTTGAGATGAGGCTGCACTGGGTCATGCCTCCAGAAATGACATCTACAGAATAACAATACAGTAAAACACTTTTCAGCACTGCTTGGGTTTCATAGACTGTCTTCAGGAGGAACAAGTTTTCCTTATTTTTTGTTCAAAGCCCTAGGCCTAAATTCTCCCAGTGGACTCTGGATTTCAGAAAGGAGGTGGCTGTACGAGCAGTCCTAGGCTGCGGGGGATCATTATGGACCTGTCTTGGTTCTCCTCGGGTATTTCCATTCCTGGGTTTGCAATATTGCCCATCCCTCCTGGAGCACTGAGCAACTCCGTAAATAGGCCACTCTGTGGAGGAGCTGCTCTGCCGGGCGATTAAATGTTGCTTGTTAGTTCTGGCTTCCCCCCCCCCCCAAACAGGTCTATCCATGCTGTACTTCGATGTGCAGAGCAATGCTGTAACATGGGTAGAGTGAATTTACGGGGTCATGTCTGTGGGATTTCGCCAGTCCCGTTGGTGGCAGGGTGTCCTGGGGAACCCCTGCAGCAGCTGCCGCTCCACACTCAAGTGCTGGCTTTGGGTGTGA